AGATTGGGGTGGTGGTCTACACACCAAGGAACACCAAGGAACACCAAAGATGCCAGTAAATCAGCGGAACCTGGGGCAAAATATGGAAAGGATTCTCCCTCCCAGCCCTCAGGGGGAACGAACCATGACAACACCTTGACCTCAGACTCCCAGCCTCCAGAACTATTATTTCCACTTCAAATAAAAAATTTTATTAGAAATTACATCTCATAAACCTTGACTGGGTAAAAACAACTTGCTTCAAAATACATTTCAAATGTGTATACCTGCTGATGACATTTTTATTTTTCTGAGCAACATTCTGAAAAACTCAAATAAAATAGTATTACTGTTTTTCAGATGATTTAAATGGAACATCCCCCTCCCCAACGGGGAGGGGTGTAGGGGGAAGCAGCAGTAGTGGCACAGCTGGTGGGGTCTGAACTGGATGCCCTTTGTGGAGAGTATTGAGGATGTCCACTGCAGCATTGTTTATAATAGTGAAAAACTGAAAGCAATCCAACAACCAGCAGCAGAAAGTTATTTGAGTTATAATACTTTCAGTTCTGCACTATTTATCATCTCATTTACACCTAATATTATTACTTAATTATTATTACCTATGAAATAGCTAATATTTCCCCTAATTTGTAGACAGAGACATAATGAATATAAGGACAAATGTTTTATCTTCACTAGTAATAAAAAAGAGGAAAAAATAACAAGGTCTTACTGTATAGCACAGGGAACTATATTCAATATCTTGTAAAGAAAAGAAAAGAAAAAATTAAGAAAAATAACAGAACAAATCTGAAGAAAAGAGAAAAATAAAATTTTTTAAAGGCAGAAATAAAGTAAATATAAAACAGAAAAAGAAACAGGATTGATCAATCTAAGAGGTAGATCTTAAAAAAACACATAATTAGCAAATACCTGGCACTTTAAAATTTTTGAATAAAAAATTGACAAAATATTATAATATTGAATAGAGATAACATATGATCTAGCAATCCCACTCCTGTGTGTGTATACATGTATATATATATATGATTATTACTCAGCCATAAAAAGAATAAAATATTGCCATTTGCAGCAACATGAATAGACCTAGAGAATGTTATACGTAGTGAAGTAAATGAGACAGAAAGACAAACAGTATATGATATCACTTATATGTGGAATCTAAAAAATAATACAAATGAATCTATATACAAAACAGAAACAGACTTACAGATGTAGAACACAAACTTACAGTTACCAAAGGGGAGGTGGGAGGAGGATAAATTAGAAGTATGGGATTAACAGATGTAAAATACTACACATGAAATTACTAAGCAACAGGGATTTACTGTATAACACAAGGAATTATGTTGAATATCTTGTAATAACCTGTAAAGGGATATAAGCAGAAAAAAATAACTGAATCACTTTGCTGTACCCTTGAAACTAACACAATGATGTAAATCAAGTATACTTCAATTTTTTAAATTATAATATTGAGGTCTATGTTTTTATTTATAAAATTAAAGAACACATTTTAAATAATTTCACCAAAGGTAGTATAGCCATTTCTTGCAAATATGCCTGGTGATAAATTGAAAAAACAATTCTGGTGAGGACCTTGGCAATGTTTAGGAAAAAAGCCTATGAGGTGAGACAAAGATTTACATACAAAGATGTTTGTGAATTTGAGATGATTTTTAATCCTGCCAGACACATTGTTTTATATTGCTGCTGTAACATATTGTCATAAAGTTGGTGCAACACAGATTCCTCGTCTAGGAGTTGTGTAGGTTAACAGGACAGTGGGCTCTGCTGTTTCCTCTGCTCCTGGTCTCACAGAGTCAAAAGCAAGGTGCAGGCCAACTCGGGCTCCTTATCTGGAGGATCCAGAGGGGAATGTTCCTCCAGACTCACTCAGGTTGTTGACAGAATTCAGTTCCATGTGGTTGTAGGACTGAGGTCCCTGTTTTCTTGCACTCAGCCAGGAGTCTCTCTCCTGCTCTCCTCGCAACACTCCCCCATCATCTTCAGACCAGCAAGGCCACATCCAGTTCTTCTTAGTTCAACTCTCTCTTGATTCTCCTTCTGCCACATCCCTCACTCCAGCCAGGGAAAGCTCTCTGCTTTTAAGTTTTATGTGATTAGACTGGGCCCACACTGATGATCCAGGATAATCTCCCTATTTTAGGCTCGTAAACTTAATTACACCTGCAAAGTTCCTTTCACCATGCAAGGTAGCAAATTCACAGGGTCCAGAAATGAGGACATGGGGAGGGAGACGGTGGGCATCCGCCTATCACCTGATAAGATGCTGAAATTATCTTAAAGGGAAAAAAAGGAGGATATTAATCAGTATTTCTCAACCTTGACGCTGTTGACATTTTAGACTGGATAATTCTTTGTCTTGTGCACTGTGTTCAGCAGCATCTCTGGCTTCTACCCACTAGAGGCCAGTAGCACCGACCCTGCCCCCCTTTCTTTCTCCCCCACTGTGACAACCAAAAATGTCACCAAACATTGCTAAATGTTCCTGAGGGTCAAAAATACCCTCAGTTGAGAACATACACACACACGTGTGCACGCGCACACATACACAAAAAATGGGAGTCCAGTTTTCTCAAAATCACAGCACACGTAACCATACTCATACACAGAGAGTGTAAAAGATGTTGGCAAACAAGATAACAGGACATTCACAGTGGTTATTGTGGGGTTTGTCATAATAGTTGCTTTGTTTTCTTTACGTTTTTCTGTGCTGTTCAAGCTTGAATAACTATGAGTTTTGAGCATTATTTTATAAATCAATTTCTCCTGAAATAGATTTTTAAACACAAATTCTGTGTCATTACTCTTAGAAGTTCTCCTTGATGACACCTCAGTGTTCTTGTAATGTTCTATTGAATTTTTGTATCTCTATTTGTAACTAAAATTATGTTTTCCCTTCTATTTGTCAGATTTTTGTATCAGAATATATAAAGTATGCCTGAAACTAATCAGAGCATCAGTGGAATTAACCGTTCCTTTAGTTGGAAAGAATTATCCAGTTAAGTGATCTGGCTGCTCTTAGTCATTTTTTGAGATAATTGCTTGAGAACTTTTTCCAGTAGCTTCCTTGATTATAGGGCATCATGATCTACTTCTTCTGGAGTCCATCTTGGCCATTTCTTCTTTTTCATAAATCATTATTTCAGAATATTTATATTTATTAGATATGATTGTGTATAAAGTATTTTATACTTTGTAATATCTACCTTCTCTATACTTGTAACTGCAGAATATGGTAAGTATTAGTATTTTCTCTTATTTATTAATTAGATTTTCCAGAGATTTGTCTCTTTTTACTGATTTTTTTTTTTTCAGTAGAAATATCTCTTCAATATACTTAGCAGGTATAGCCATTATGGAAAACAGTATGGAAGTGCCTCAAAAAATTAAAAATAGATATGATCCAGCAATTCCATATGATCTGGCAATTCCTCTTCTGGGTGTATATCCAAAGGAAATGAAATGAGTATCTTGAAAAGATACCTGCACTCCTATGTTCATTGCAGCATTAGTCACAACAGCCAAGACATGGAAGCAACCTAAGTGTTCACTGATTCATCGACAGATGAATAGATAAACAAAATGTGGTGTATATATAAATGGAATATTATTTAGGCATGAAAATGAAGAAAATCCTGCCATTTGTGACAACATGTGAACATGGAGGACGTCATGCTAAGTGAAATAAACCAGACAGAGAAAGACAAATACTGTGTGATCTCATTTAAATGTGGAACCTAAAATAGTCAACCTCATAGAACCAGAGAGCAGAACAGTGGTTATCACAAGATGGGGATGGGGTAAATGGGGAGATGGTGGCCAAGGGATATGAACTTTTAGTTATAAGATGAGTAAGTTCTGGGCAGCTGATAGAGCTCTGAGGGTGGTGGGTATACCCTTGTCTGAGACTCCTGAATGTTTTTTTTCACTCCACTGACCGTCTAGAGCTTAATTGTAATTGTAAGGCTTAAATAACCAGTGCTTTAAATTGTAATAAGCCAGATCTCTTTTAAGAATAGCACTCAACTACTCAATTTGGAGAGAGGTAAACACACGTGGGGATTTAGTTTTTAAATGAGCTTTTGCAGGAGTTGATTCCAGGAGACTTTCCCACAGTGACCAATCTTGGTCCTCAACTGAGTTGATGGAGGAGTGGGAGGAGTCACGGGAAAGGGCGTGGCCAAGCAGCTCCAAGGTCTCCCCAGTAAGAGAAGGATTGAGTCTCCAGACACACTGCCCTGCGGATCTTCCCATTACACTTGCCATAATCCTCCTGGATGGGTAAGAAATGGGCAACAGGACCCTTCACTCAGTAACTGAGGCCACAGCTAACACAAGAGCGTCAAAGAGCAGGGGCTGCTTTCCTTTCTCTACTCCCAGTGTTCTCCACATGCTCCCCGTGAGGGCTCTCAGGAAGGTTCTGCAGGAATGAATGATGAAGGGAAAAGAATGATGGAGAATGAAGCCGGTGTGGATGGATGCAGGATGCGGGACAAAGGCAAGTAGTTAGGCATCTGGCCTTGACACTTCCTCCCAGGGCCCAGGACAGATCGGAAGAGGGACTGGGAGGAGGGAGCGGTGGGAGCAAGTACAGTGAGGGCTCCAGCATTTCCAAAGAGGATGGTATGAAGTGGGGTAGAGGAAATGCGGAACAGGTCTAGAAGATGCATTTGCCTGGCAAACACGATTTTAATTGTATATTCTGGGGATGCTGGTCTTGGAGAGGCAGATGGAAGGGATAAGGCTGCGAAGGGGGTTGAGTCCCTGTCTGATTGGATGGATGGATGGATGGATGGATGGAGTGACTGAATGAGTGGTTGCGGGAACTTCAGACTTCCCCGGGTCGGAGCAGCGCGCCCGGTAGGGGTCACTGCAAGCCCCGCAGGCGGGAAGGGGGCGCAGGCGCGGCAGGAGCCAAGGCCCTCCCTTGTTGGGGCGGGGGCGGGGAGGGCTGGGGGTGGGGTTAGAGAAAAGGACGCGAAAAGGCTCCAAACTTCCGGTGCCTGCGGAGCGCGGAGCGGTGGTGGCACAGAGAGAGGCTGCACTGAGAGAGGCTGCGCGGGCAGAGGCTGCAGAGCGGACGCGCGGTCCGTCGCAGCCATGGTGAAGATCAGCTTCCAGCCCGCGGTGGCCGGCATCAAGGGCGACAAGGCCGACAAGGCTTCGGGCTCGGCCTCGGCCCCGGCGCCCGCTCCGGCCGCCGAGATCCTGCTGACGCCGGCTCGGGTGAGAGGGGCTGGGATTTGTTCAGATGGGGGGCGGGGGACCAAAGCGCGCCTTGCCGGTTCCGGCAACTGCCCGAGGCGCACTGGGATCCCGGAGCCTAGAGCGGAGCGGGGGTGGGAGTCAGGAATGGGTCATCCATCCCAAAGTGGGGAGGGGGCTTGGGTCCTGTCCACTTAAGGAGTCAAAAGCATAAGTCTGACGAGTGAGTGGGGGTCCGAGTCGCAGATCCCAGGTGGAGAAGCGCTCGAGGTCTCTTCCAAAAGTGGAGGGGGGCCCTAGACGCCTGGCCCCAAAATACTGGGAGGGGGCTGGTCCGAGGAAGTTCGAGGAATGTTGGTGGGGGTGTGTGCGTCTGGTTCCAATCAAGGAGGAGGGGCCGCGAGTCGATTCCCCAGGTGGGGGATGGGAGAAGGGTTGGACATTGTTTCCCCAAAGTAGGGCGGTGGGTTGTGATTGGTGGGGAATGAGGGGAGGGGGTCTGGTGCCAACGAAGGGGGAGGGACTATTGATTTCGTCCCAAACCGGGGACTGCTGGGGACGAAGGATGGGCTGCTAGTGTGCACCTGAATTTGTGGACCAGATTTAAAGCGATGAAACATGAAATGGAAATAAACCAGAACCGGCCTGGCCACAAGTCCGGGATTCGAGATTCGAGTTACGAGTCTGGGTGCCCTGAGCCCACCCCGCCCCCCGCCGTCTGGGCCTCCCAGCTCTCCTCTTCCTTCCTCTCCTCGTTCGCTCTCCCTCTGGGCTACCCCCTCCACTCGGCGGGGACGCCCCTGCGCTGCCCGGGGGCCCTCCCGCATCCAGGTTGCGCTTTGTGGGGGCAGCGGCCTCCCCTTTCCCTCCAGCCTAGGGGAGAGGAGGCATTTCCGCCGTGGAAAACTGTCTGAGCTGCGTGGAGTCTGACCGGGGGAGGGCCCAGAGGGGGCAGGACGCGTGGCGGGCAAGGAGGGTTAGGAGAGCTGGTCCGGCCAAGCTTTCTAGTGCCCCAGCAAAGGGGCCTTCGCGGCCGTCGCCCCTGGCGGTCTTGGAACGCACCAAGCACCCGCCGGCGCCCCTCCACCACCATCGAAACAGGAGTTCTCTCCCTCTCTCTTTCCGTTGCTAGCTTCTGAGGAGTCTTCCACAGCACCAAGGCCCCTCCCCAAGTTGACTGCTCAGACTAAACCTTGAGGTGGGGGCGGGGGGTGGGGGGGCAGTCGGCGGTGAGGAGATGCTGCCGGATTACCTGTGCCCTGGAAGAGGGGACGCTGGAGAGGGGACTCAGAGGTGGGTGTCACAGCTAGAGCAAAGACTGAGCATAGAATTCCAGGAAGAGCCTTAGCGAGCCGCCTTGCCCTGGTGTGGTCACTGCAGCATCAGTGGCCACCGGGTCTGGTTTGGGGTTGCTATGCAACCCCCACCAGAGCAGCTCTGTCTTCTCAGCTTAGATGCTGAGGGGATACTCCACATTTGAAGGCGTGGCCTGCAGCTTTAAAAGTTTGAAAGGGATTCTTCAAGCCGTCTTCCTCCCTTGCACCCAGCCCCGGTAGGGTGCCAGGATGGGGTCCCAACTACTTCTCCCAAGGCCCAGAAAACTGGACCCTGCTTCTGAGAGCTATAGGATTCTGGCAGGAAGGAGGACCAGCCAGACAGTCGAGGATGTAATTCAAACTCCCGTTAGAAGGTCTGCGGAATTTCTCAGGAGTGGCACATTTTCTGGTAGCAGCGGCGTGATGGTAGATGCAGCCTTGGCTGGAACTGACATCCAGCTTCTGGCTCCAGAATCAAGCGTCCTCTCTTAAAGCGTCCTCTCTCCCCTTGCACAGTGTGAAATGGAAACATCAACATCTTCCTGGTGCTGTTTGCAATGGTCTGAAGCCAGCTGAGCACGCCTCCTCCCCAGACCTGATTAGTTAGGCAGGATTTCCCCCCTAAAACTCCCCCACCCCGCTCTCTTAATGGGCAAGGGGGAGCGATGGGGCCCCAGGAGGAGGATTAAAATCCCAGTACCTTTAGGTCAGATCTGCTTGTTAGTAAACTTCCACAGCTCACCCGCCCTGAGGTGATCAGAGGAGGCTTCTGGGCGTCCCACGTTGGCCCTGCCAGTCACCTGCTGGAATTGGAGGCTTGTGAAGAGAATTGACCTCTCTGAGCTTCTCGTGGCCTCGCCTGGCCAGTGGGCACATTTTCCACGTGTGCAGGGTGTGGAGCAAGTCCCCCACTCCTGCCTCCTCCTCCTGCGGTAAACACATCAGGTGCCCAGCATTCACAGCAGCCCAGGACACCCGCCAGGGACAGGCAGGCAGGCTAGGAGCTTCCTGGAGCTGCTTCTTTAAGAGAGGGCATTTGCGTTTGTCCCCTGCTGATGGGCATGTGAGAGGAAAGCTGATTAGAAGGTCTCTTCTGGCTGGGGGCGACCCTAGAACCTTCCTTGGCTACTGAACTGCACTCAAAAATAAGATTTCAAGCTCTGGAAGGACCACTCAATGAACAGAGTCTTGTGAGTGCCTTTCAGCAGTGAGCCACCCTCTAGCTGTCATAATAAAATGTCAACCTGTCTGCCCGCCCCAGGGGGCCAGGGGAGGGCAGCCACAGCAGCAGCACCAGCACAGCGGGCCTCCCCCAGCTTCTGGGTAAAACTGAAACAAGGAGGATTTTGTCCCAGACCTGCTGCTGGAAGGAAGTGCCTCGGTGGGCCGGGAAGGGATGGGGGTGGGGGCCCAGCTGGGCCTCCAGCTGCCCACCCTCCCCACGTGGTGCTTGCCTCTGAGGTAATAAGAAGCCAGCGCTGATGGGCAGCTGGCGGGAAGTCAGCTTCGAAAGTGGGCTGGACGGGAAGCACCCCCTCTTAGCACTCTCTAGCTGGATCGTCCTTCCCCTTTGGAGGCCCACCGGCCAGCCCTGCAACTCTCAGCCCAGTTCCCCTGTCCCTACTATCTGCCTGTGTCTTTGTGTATGCGCGCGCGCGTGCACACACACACACAGGCAGGTGTGGGCCTGTACAGACTCGAACAGTCAGGTTGGAGGCGCCACAAGAAGAGAGAACCATGTTCAATACAGTCATCTTCTCAGAGCTGTAATTTTCTCCTTGGCTTTTGCCTTTGATTAATGGCCCCTGTGTCACCCCCTCCCCCAGCCCGCATACCTGGGATCAGATTTCACTTTCCACCTCCTGGCCTCAGGCCCTTGGCAGGAGGGAGCTGGGTCTCCTGGAGTGGTTGGGGGAGGGACCCCTGCCAGCCAGGAGAGCGGATCTGGTGGGGCCTGGAGCCCTGCTGCCCCAGTGCCCTGTACCCGCGGGCCCTGAGAGCTGGGTCAAGAGGACCTTGGTGAATGGGCGGTCCTGCCCCTGTGGTGGTGTAGGGACTTCGGCGGCCATGCCTCGCCTGCCCTGGGACTTCCCCAAGGGGCTCTGGCTTTTGGACTTGTGCCCCAGTGACTTTTCTGCCTTCTCTCATTTCCCTTTCTTTTCTGTCCTCCTTTCGGCCCCTCCTTGCATGATTCAAGGCTGTCAGCAGATTGCCACGAAGGGATGAGTTTCTCTTACCATAAAAAAATCTTTATGGTAAGATCAAGGAAGCACAGCCCCTGCAGCGTCTCCGAGTTGCGTCTCCCCTAGGAGAGCTTCCAGCAGCAGCTCTGCTCCTCGCTCCCCCCCCCACCCCCCCGAACCTTTGTTCTTTGTGGTCTCATCTTGACTGTTGGGGATGGAATAGAAAGAATTAGCAGAGGGAATCTACCCCGGCTGTGCAGGGCTGTTCTCCGGTCCATACCCTTCTTCCTCCCCAGGCCTGCACCGTGGGCACCACTGGGTCACACGACAGGAGTGGGGTTTCACTGATGGTGAGTTCATGGTGCCCTGTCCGTGTTTACCCTAGCTGATGTCTGTACTTCTGACCACAGCTCTGCGTGCTCGGTGGGCGGAGGGCATTTACCCAATCCCCCCACCTCTCCAGGCTTCTGTCTGTCTCACTCACACACACACTCCCTCCCTCCCTCCCTGGTGCCCTTGCCTCTGTGTTCTGCAGCCTGGGAGAGGAAGAGGCTGAGGAGGGGGAGTGGTACCGGCGAGTTGAGGTGGGAGCCCACCCCCAGCCACCAGCCTGGGCCTGCCATGAGTGTATTTCTGGCGCCTGTGCTAGCTTCCTCCGAGCAGCCTGCCACTGTAGTTTAATCTGCTTGCAGTTAATTTGGACGTTGCCACGGAGGGAAGGTGGGTGAGCTTTCTCCCTAAGCCGGGGAGTCTTCAGAGTTAATGCTTCTGTTGGCAGGGTTCCCCGTGACTCTTTTGTCGCTGGCTTTACTAAATCATTTAATGAGAGCCCTGCAGACTCCTGAAACAGGCAGGCCAAGGCCCGGGCCCCTCCTAGGTCCCCGGACATGTGGCCCAGGTGCCCCACAGGCATGCACAGCAAGGCATGTTTCTCAGGATGCTCAGTTGCCATGGAAACAGTATCGCTATTTTTCTGCTTTCTCTCAGTGGAAGCCCCCCAGATGCCCAGCTGTGAGTAACTGCTCCACGTGGGAGCTGTGTTTTCCTGGGGCTTCAGCATGACAGGTGAAGCAGCTTAAGGGCTTCGTGAAGCAGGCTCCTCGGCCATCATCCTGGGTGAGCTGTGCAGCCAGGGATTTTCCAGCCCAGGCTGACTGCGTGCTCCCAGGGGCCTCAGGGCTGCTGCAAGGGGCTGGAAGTGCAAGCACGGGGAGCGCCAGGCAGGATTCAGGGGCCTCCCCCGTGTGGGTCTTTCTGTTCCAGAGCGTTTGTCTCAAAGCAGAGTCTCTGTGATTTCCAGTCGGCCTCCTAGCAGCCTCTGGGCCTGCTTTCCCTTCCACCCCTGCTGCTCCGTGATGCTTCTGGGGGTTTGGCCCCTGCAGGCCAAACGTGTTGGGTAGGAAGGGGAGCAGGGTGTGAGCCACGGATGTGCACTCGGTGGGGGTCTGTAGGGGCCAGATAGGAAGCCACTTATCTGCTGCATGTCTAGGAAAGGTGGGGGTCCACCACAGAGACCTGTGAGGACACAGGGTGGCGTCCCGGGGTCCTGACTGGAGACTCTTTCTCAGCAATGGTGGCCTCTCCTCTCTTCAGCTGCAGGCTCTCCTCCCTCCCCTGTCCTCACTGACCTTCCCTCTCCCCGCTCTTCCGTCTGCCCAGCCCCTCCCCCAGGCACTTAGAAGCACCTGACCCAGCCTGGGCCCAGAAAGGCTGCTGTAAAGCTAGTAGGTCTCACCTTGTCCGTGAACTTATATTGTGGAGCAGACCGTGGGGCTTTTGCTTTGTAGCCTGTTGACTTTTTTTGGTGTTTGTTTTGTTTTGTTTTGTTTTTTAAAGGCAGTTCTCACAAGCCTGCTTCTCTGGTTTTCCCCAACAAACACAGGAGCAAAACTTGGCCACAGTGCAACTTCAACAGCTGGCTCGGTGGTGGCCCTAAAAAGGAAAGGTTTAGCTGATAAAGATCTGCTATTTTTATCTAGCACTTTATCCTTTATAAAGGGCTTTCAGGGTCTTTGTATCCTTTAATCCTGACAAAACCCTGGCTGGAAGAGTCTGTTCACGTTTTACAGGAGGACCTGTGGAAGGTCAGGGCGCTGGGTGCTTCCCACTCATGGATCTCAGCCCATAATGGGGCTTCTGAGTCCCTGCAGTCCAACAAAATACACGTCCTGCCCTTAGGACAGGATTCAGAGCAGGTGCAGTGCTTGGCCTGTCTTCCTGGTCACCCACCTCTCCTTTGGACCCACTCACAACAGCTGGAGCCTCTGGATAGCTTGTTCCTTGTGAGACCCTGGCAGAGCTTGGCCGTCGGGTCACCAGGTCCTGGGCTGCTCCTGGGAGCCCACTGGAAAGTCAATGCCATTGCAGCCCCCAACCCATTCTGGCTGACGGCCGTCCCTCAGGGCCCTGTGGGCAGTGGTCACGTGTGCTAGTGACCTTGCATAGTGCCCCCGGGGAGCCGAGGAGATGGCAGCCAGGTGGGTGGTCTCACCAGCTTGCTTCTCTGGTTTCGATCACAGGACCCCTGCAGCAGGGCCAGGGTTGGGAGAGGCCCCAGGCCTGTAAGGGGGAGCAGGATGGGCCAGGGTTCCTCTCCAGCCTGCATCCCTTGGTGCTGGAGACTAGGGGCTGCTGGCCTGGCAGTAGGTGTGCGCAGTGAGGGGGAGAGTCCTTCAGGCATTTTCTGCCGTTTTCCTCGGGAAACGGGTTGGGGAGAACCCCAAGCAGGGAGGTATCAGCCCCTCTGATGGGATGGCCCTCTGCTCCCTCAGGCCCAGGCCCCACACCCCCATGTGCCCTAAGCAAAGGGGCGGGACCTGAGGGACACAGCAGGCCCTGCACCGACCCCTACCAGCCTGGGCCCCCTTTGCTGAACTGAGGATAAGGGCCTGTCCTGGATAACTTGGACCTGAACTGTGTCCCTACCCTCCTACCACCTGCTCCGGGATGAAGGGAGAATGGAAACACGGCACATAGAGGGCTGAGTGGACAGTGGCAGAGCTGGAGTGAGAAGGTGCAGGCTCTGGGCTAGAGCTCCCCTCTTCCCCAGTACTGCCTCAGCCCCTTAGGTGGGGGGGAGGGGACCTGGGACTGGCCTCTAACCTCTCCCGGCTGCATCACGGAAGAGGGTGGGCTCTGCAGGCAGAGACAGGCCTGGGGCCTTGGAGACATCTCCAGGATGAATGAGGCCTGCATTAGGGCAGGGGTGCCTGGGAGGACAGGCATAAAGATGAGGGGTGGCCAAGATCACACACAGCTGGTTAAGAGCCCGAGTCACTAGACTCCTGGTCCAGTGCTCCAGGGAGCGCAGGGTTACTGAGTTTTACACACACACCTTCCAGCCACTGGCCCAGATGTGTGTGGACTGGAGCTGGGTCAGGCTGGCTGGCTGCTTCTTGGCAGCCCTGCAGCTACTGTTCCGAAACCAAGCATGGCTCCCCAGAGCAGGTTTTTTTCCAGGAACCTCCTGCCCTGGCCTCCCTGCCGGCAGCTGCCGTTGCCACAGCCACATTTCCCTCCTGGCAGAGGCGCCCTGGCTTCCAGAAGCCTCCAGACTTCACCCTACAGTTTCCACTCCTGACAGTATGCTTGACGCTCCCAGCCAGTGCCCGGGTGATGCCATCGCTGTCCTGGCTGGCTGAGCCCTGCCTGGTGTGGCCTGAGGGGACAAGCACCCCTGCCCAGACCCTGTGGGCTTCTGGGAGCCCTGTCCTCATCAGTCAGTGACCACTCCAGCCTGCAGGTGGATCTTGTCACTTTCTACTTCAGAAGCCTTCCCTGGCTCCCCATTGCCCAGAGCAGTGGCTCCAGCCTGCCCAGTGCACCCCAGTTCCTATAGGTTCCTAGGCCTGGCACAGTCACCAAGGTCATGTCTGTGCTTCCCCACTCTCTGTTTGAAAGAACCTACTGTGGTCACAGCTGGTATAATGAAGGGGACTAACAGTGTGGGTAATTCAAAATACGCTTGCTTGATCTCCATGGGTCATCTTCAAGGTGGGGCTCCATTTCTCTTTAGATGAGAAGAGCTGGGGGGACCCTGGCGATGTTTTCCTTTCCTGCCAGATGATGTTCTGTGTGTTTTGAGCATTTCCCTTCCCTCTGCCCCGAGGCTTCCCCCCCAGCCGGTGGGGAGAGGTCTCACTTCAGGAAAGGGGATTCCCAGGGGTGTGGGACCACCACCTGCTGACCCTGTGCTGCTGTTCACAGGAGGAGCGGCCCCCCCACCACCGCTACAAGAAGGGCGGCTCCGTGGGCGGCGTGTGCTACCTGTCCATGGGCATGGTCGTGCTGCTCATGGGCCTCGTGTTCGCCTCCGTCTACATCTACAGATACTTCTTCCTCGCTCAGGTGAGGCCGGGACGAGAGAAAGAGTGGCGTTTAGAGAGAAGCAAGGAAGTATGCGTGTTTGCAGGGGTCAGGGGTGAGGGTGTGGGAGCGGGAGGTGTGAGCTGTTGAGAGCCATTGGCTTGGGGTTGTGAGGAGAGGGCAGCCCCAGGTGGGAGGAGCACTCAGGGGAGCCCAGAAGACCTGCATCCTCGCCTTCCCTGGTCTCGGTCCAGGATACAGGACTGGGGCCCCGGCCTCAACTCCCACGGGCTCTGGAGGAGGGTCCTTGCCTAGTTCTTCTGACACACCTGAGCTTGACAGGGTGCTCTCCCAGGAACACAGTCAGTGATGGGGGAGCCAGGATTAGAGTCTGGGCCCTTGAGGCTCCTTCCCACAGTGTTACCCCCAGGGCAATATTACCGGAAACTCAGGTCCAGCAGAACTTGGATCTCTGCAATCCCTTGAGAGTCCAGCCCCTATGCCTGCGGGTCATGCTTTCAAGAATTCCATTCCGGGCCTGGACATTTGGGCTACAAACCTTGCAAGGTGGAGGGTGGGTTGTAAAAACAGATTCACCTCCACCTCCTGTGAGGGCGGCCCCCGCCCAGGATCGCACCCTGGTTATCTGCTCACACAGCCAATCTGGGCCCAAAGCTGGCCCAGACACCTGGTTGTGGTCACAGCGACCTTGTGATCAGCCCAGACCTGGGGAGGGAGACAGTGCCACCAAGTTCTCAGACCTGAAGGTAGTTCAGTTAAAGGTCGCTCCATAGAATAACCATGAACACAACTTACAGGGAATCTCGGTGACAAGAAGGCTGAGAATTGCAAGTCATTTATGACCCGAGTGACCTCCTCCCACCCTTTAGCACTGGGCTTTCGCTTTGTTGTCACCCAGTTTTTCTGCAGTGGAAATTACTGAAGAGTTTGTGTTCCACACACTCCCACACACCACTCACTTCCCATTCTGTTCAGCATCTGACCCCCACTCCCCATGGCCTGCTCCATACCTGCCCCTGGTTCTCTTTCCCAGCCACACGCCCTCTGGGGCCTTTTCCTGTTGCAGCCTCTGTTCCCAGCCCCGACTCACGCCCTCCTGGGGTTCCTCACCCCACCTGGATTCCTGGGGAACAGGGCCACCTCCGAGCAGCCTGTGGGTCTGGGCCCTGGGACAGTATGATTCATATGTGATGATTCACTCTCCTGGAAGAGCTGACACTCAGAGAAAGGGGAGTTCTGCCCATCACGGGCCAGGACCAGCAGTCCCTGCTCTATCTGGAGGAGCCCCTGGGGGAGAGGGAGGGGCACACGGTCCCTGGCCAGTCAGTCACGTGCCTATCAGTCCCGCCAGGCTGCCTGCCAGGCTGCCTCCCTACCCGTGCGGTTGGAGTGATTAGGCTGCCCCCCGAGATAGGATACACCGTGTTTATCAAGGTTTCTCATGAGGCACGGGGTCCAGGGAAGGTGACGGGACTTGTGAGAGAGTGGACACGCAGCTTGCGGGGGGTGGTACCACCAGAATCTATTAACAGGGCCGCCTCTCAGCTCCTCCCTCTTCCTCCCGCGCTGGACCCCGCAGCAGAGGGCAGGAAGCGCAGGCGAGCACCCTCTGGTGGCAGCGGAGGGTGGCGCCCCGCAGGGCTCCGCCTGTCCACAGTCCCTGTGTTTGCCTCTGCGGATCCACCCCATTTCACAGCCGTAGACTCATGGACTTAGAGGCCAGAAAAAGCCCGAGGGGCTCCTGTCTTTTTACAGATGGGGAAACTGAGGCCTAAAGGTGTCTTCCTTTTAGGAACTGGCAGACCCGGTCACCCTCCCTGACTCAGCATGTTTCTCGGTTTCTTCATCTGTAAAATGGGTCTCACAGCCCCACCCTGCCTGCTTCCCCAGGCCTTCAGAGCCTGCTGTGATTGGGCAGGCAGCAGTGGCTGAGCCGAGGGCACTGAGTGACCAGGCTCCCTCTCTTTCTCGCTCTTTCTCTCACCCCCCACCCACCCTTGCTCAGCTGGCCCGAGACAACTTCTTCCACTGCGGCGTCCTCTACGAGGACTCCCTGTCCTCCCAGGCCCGCACGCGCATGGAGCTGGAGGAGGACGTGAAGATCTACCTCGAGGAGAACTACGAGCGCATCAACGTCCCTGTGCCCCAGTTTGGTGGCGGCGACCCCGCAGACATCATCCATGACTTCCAGCGGGTGAGGCTGGCCAGGGACTGGGGCAGGGGCGGTGAGGGGGCGCCCAGGGACCCAGAGCCCCCCTTCCACCAAGAGTCACCAGGAGGAGAGGAACAGGAGCAAAAGGAGAATGCCGACATCCCTTGTCTAAACCTGAAGTACATACTGTGTAATGTACACTGTGTGGTAGATGTCTACGGTTGAGGACCATCGGGGATTTAAAGACACAGCTTTTATCATATAGGTAATGCGGCCCTCACTGGACCTGAACTAGCCGTGTCTGACTTTCTCCTCGGCCTCCTGACAGCTGCAGATTGTTACCTTTTTACTGAGCTGTTTGCACGTTGACATCTTACAGAGGTGCCACACACAGGGCCCGGGGTGGAGCATCTCTTGCTGAGGGTCCAGGCTGTCCACTGGGATGTTTGGACAGCGCAGGTTTGATCAGATGGACAGTTGGGACACTACCGTGTTTTTCAAACCTCAACCGTGTGACCCCCCCCCCCCGAGAAGAATCCTTGTAACAACTGAAACACTTAACAGGTGGTGTTTTCATCTGGTGAGTGGAAGCTTCTGCAAACAGGCTAGGAGAGGCGCAGGAGAAGGGAGCCCCACCCAGGTGCTGGGGAATCTGGGAGCGTCGCATGGGTGCCGTGGGGTTCGTGCCTTGCACAGCCCACCAGGGCCAGGCTTTCGCCTGCGTAGACTGACGTGGCCCCTCCTCCTGCTCAGGGTCTCACCGCCTATCATGACATCTCCCTGGACAAGTGCTACGTCATCGAGCTCAACACCACCATCGTGCTGCCCCCTCGCAACTTCTGGGAGCTGCTCATGAACGTGAAGGTGGGCGGGGCCTCGGCAGTGGCTGGTCCCTCCCCGCCCCCATGAGGCCACGCCAGGACAAGGGAGGTTCCTGCGGCAGGGGTGGGGTTCCCGATGTTGTGGTCAGCTAGGCCGGGCACCGAAGGTTGATCCCCCACCTGCGCACTTCTCCCACATTCGAAGTTACCGCCTAACCCTCCACTTCGGCCTCCCTCACTGCGGAAGAACCTCGAAACCAACTTCCTTAGCGTTCACGGCCAAGTTCCATGTCACCCCATGTCAGCAGTGCAGGGAGAAGATGGGGGCCCTGCCCCCGAGGAGCAGTCCCCAGAGGATTGGGACCAGGCTTGCACACCCGCATGACTCACAGCAGTGCAGGTGCAGGCACTTGGCACAAACAGGAAGTGTCTGGGGACATCAGAAGGGCGAGCCGAGTGGCCTCTGGATGAGGAGGGTGGTGTTGGACGGGCGTTTCAGGCAGGGGGGAGCTCGGCTCAGGTGATCAGCAGGATGGTGATGAGGGGCGTGGGCAAGTGGGGACCACGGGAGGAGAGCCCTGGTTCTGACCTACCACTGTGGCTGCTCCCTTTGCAGAGGGGGACTTACCTCCCGCAGACATACATCATCCAGGAGGAAATGGTGGTCACAGAGCACGTCAGCGACAAGGAGGCCCTGGGCTCCTTCATCTACCACCTGTGCAACGGGAAGGACACCTACCGGCTGCGGCGCCGGGCCACCCGGAGGCGTGAGTGGCGGGCTCCACCCACCTTGGCCCCTGCCCCAAGCTCCAAACCATGGCCATCCTCTGGCAGTGCCTGGCCACACAGCTGGAGACCAGCTGTCAGAGAGCTCAGAGCAATAGTGAGGATAACAGCTGGTGTTAGTTGAGCCCTGCTTCACACTCTTTATGTCTCCTAAGAGGGAGTGTAAGCAAGCATCATCATCCGCATCATCACTATTCCTGCTGCCCCTTTTAAAGATGAAGAAACCGAGGCACAGAGAGGTTAAGAAACACTCCTGAGGTCACACAGCCGGAAAGTGGCCATGCTGGGTGGTCTGACTCCAGCTCTTACATTCACACCACTTCACTGCACTGCCTCTGGGTGAATCTGGGTGTCATTACCTGGGCCTCCCGCTTTCCCCTGGGGGCCTGAGGTCCTGCTCAGGCTCCAAGGCTGGTGGCCTTTGTGGCCCAGCCAGTTCTGGGCCAGGACACAGGCCTTACTGGGATTTCTCGGTTCTCTCGCAGGGATCAACAAACGAGGGGCCAAGCACTGCAACGCCATCCGCCACTTCGAGAACACCTTCGTGGTGGAGACGCTCATCTGCGGCGTGGTGTGAAGGCCCCTCCCCCAGGCCCCGTCCCACCCTCTCTCTTTTTCTCTTCCGGCCGCTCTCTGGCCCTCCTTCCCCTCGCTTAGCTTGTATTTTGGACACCTTTCCATAGATGTGACGTGTCTCCCCGTTGCTCTCTAGCCCTACACGCCTCCCTGTACCAGAGCTGTGACCTCTCAAGGCCTCCACCTCTGCTGACCTCCCCGGTCGGGGGGATGGACGGGATGCCCCAAGGAGGTTTCTTTGACCACCATCTGGAGGTCAGGTCCATGGGGGCCGGGCCCACAGCTGCACCGACAGCCCAAGGAGAAGGGCTGGGCAGAAGGGCCAGGCATGTTGGGGTTCTGGCGGGGGGAGGGATGTAGAGTGGGGTTCAGGAATGTCTGCACAGCTGGAAAAGTCCCGAAAGGCCTTTTCCTTGCACGGTACACTTCCTCCTCTGTTCCGATTCTGGGGCCTGAGCTGAGGGTGGTGGAATGTGCCCCAGGATGGACCCACCCAGAGCACAAGGGGTCTCCCCAGGATTCCTGTCAGTGCCTTCAGCCCACCAGCGGGAGCCTGGAATTTGGGGGTGGGGGTGGGATGAGTCCGGCAAGCACAATCTTTAGGGTGGAACCAAAGAAGGGAGGAGCCAGGGCCCCCAGCCCTGGCCCCCCCAGGAGCACAAGCTGGGTCCCCGCAGCCACAGCCACAGAGAAACGGGCAGGAGATGGGGGGTCTCTTCCCATCCTGTCCACAGGCAGCCCTACCCTGCTGAGCACTGAGCCGGGATGCACTTGGGGCTGTGGGTCCTGCTGAGCGGGTGGGGCTCACTGCGTTCTCCAGCTTAGAGCTGTCTTAGAAGATCACTGGGGGAAGGGGAGGGAGAGCCACCTGGTACTTGCACACCCTGCCTCCTCTTTGTTCTGAAATTCCGTCCCCCTCTGCTCTGGGGGAATGCAGCGTTTTTTTCCTTTTCCTTCTCACTTTTGCATGTTTTTACTGATCATCCGATATGCTAACCCCGTTCTCAGCCCTGAGCCCTGAAGGGGAGGGCTCTGACGCCTCCAGTCAGACCTAGGTGCTCTCTGGAGATGAAACTTTTAAGTGCTTTGTATATTTTCTCAATTAGATCTCTTTTCAGAAGTGTCTGTAGAACAATAAAAATCTTTGACTTCTGACTCTGACTTGGCAGTGGTGGGTGGGGGTGGGCGGGAGGTGGGGTGCGGGCTGGGTGAGGGGTGCTCCTCCATCTGTAGGCTGGGCAGGCATCCCTGGGGTCAGAGGGGCAGGTGGGCGTGGTGGGGGAGGCAGGCAGGCAGGAGAAGCTCACAGGCCTTGCCGTCTGGCCCCTAAAGAGGTGGGCTTGCTCCTGGTTCAGCCAAGGAACCAAGATGTCCCCTTCATTCTCCCCTCAGTCCAGGTAGATGTGCATTTTACAGGCGAGGGGAGGAGGAAAAGGCGGAAGAGCTGAAGCAACTTGCCCAAGGTCGTGCTGCTTTTAAGCGCCTATAAACCACCCCTTCAGTTCTACACGGAAGATGACATCATTATTGCTTGTCCTTAAGCACAAGGACGGTGTCATGTTCTCCACAATTGCTGGGCAATTAGTAACTGTCTTGGTGGAGCTGAGCTGAGGTTTGGCATGAGTCATGGGGTCACATTCTGCAGAGAAGGAGGGGGTGGGAGTTGCCCGGAGGCTTGGTTGAGTGGACCACAGAGGTAGGACCTGGGTCCCGCCCTGGGGACAAGGATGAGTGCCTACACCCTTGGCTCACAGGCTCAGTAATCCTGCGAGGGACACAAAAGATCCAACAAGTTAGTGCAGATACACCTTGTTCTCAGATCTAAAGAGTCTTGCAAAGACGTAGGGTTTTGTTATATTTGCCAACCTAAATGCAAGGCAGTCACAATTAAAATGCCGACAGGATTTGTTTTTTAACTGACACATTAAGTTCTTAGGGCAAAGTAAACAGCGGGAGCAGCCAGGTGAATCCTGAAAAGGGGGAGGAACTGTCTCCAGATACTAAACATAAAATACTGTAATTAAAGAGTTTGGTGTAGCGAAGGACGAGGTCAGTGGAGAACAATGTGGGGGCTCAGAGGCTGACTTAAATACAAGGAAATTCAGGTCAGTGGGGGACATGTGGGTTCTTTTTAATTGCATGACTGGCTAGCCATTTTGACAAAAAATTAACCTCGATCCTATGTCCCTGTAACAAAATTAATTCTGGGTGGATCAAAGCTTTTAAGTATGAAATGAAACCATAAAAGTACTTGAGAAGAGATGCTTTAAGAGAGCATCTTGGAGGAGATAATCTTTAAGCTTGATACCTACCAGTAATCACTTGAAGTATGAAAAACTAGAATTTATAGACAGCAGAATATACCACAAAGTTAAACGTTTTGTAAGTGGCAAACTGAGAGAGAGATTATAAACACAGGACATAAAAGGGCTATTTTTCTTAGTATGAAAGTTATTAAAAATCGATAAAAAAAAATGAACAACCCAATAGATAAAGCGGCAAAGAATATGAGCACGCAGTTCACAGAGAAATTCAAATGGAACACTGCTTAAGCATGAAAAGATGTTTAATCACGGTTACATAGAAAACACAAATCAAAACTAGGTAGATACAATCTGCATAAGCTAGAGGTTTCTTCGTATTTTATATTGTGAAACATTTAATACGTACAGAATACTGTACATCAATCACTAGCTTGTAAGCTATGAGGCACGACCAGTGTGTATCTGGAACCCGACAGCCGACTAATGAAACAGAAGACTGCCAGTATCACTGAATTCTTCACATGTACCACTCCCCTTGCTGCCGTGTAATAGAGCTCCCCAGAACTTAATTCTGCAGGGATGGCTGAGTTCCACGCTAACTGATGTCAGCCCTCATGGGCTACCTGCTCTCTCCTGCTTTGCATTCAACTGGGAGCTTGGCTGAGCTGGCACATCCAGAATGGCCCCTTCCTTCCAGGATATGGCTTGGAACAGGCGCCAGTCAATACCCTGGTTCTTCCTTACAGCTTGGCACCTGAACTCCAAGAGGGGAAGCTGAAGCTGCCTGTTTTTTAAAGCCTGGAATCTGAAGTTCCAGAACATTACTTCCGTGCATTATTGGTCAAAGCAAGTCACAAAACTAGCCCCTATTTAAGTGGAAGGGAAGTGGACCACCTCTGGATGTGGGGAGAAGCTTACATGCTCAGGGATGCAAGGATTTGTTGGCTCCCATGTTTGGAGGCTCCTACATCATCCCAGCCTCTACTTTCCATCAGTGCTTCCACTTCTATGTCCTCTGAGGGACATTAAAGGCTACATCTATTTTTAGATCCAAAGACAATCATGAAAATATATCAACATTCCGTATATTAGCCAATCTCCTTATATGAATTAACTCCTGTCCTGAGTTTCTGTGCTTTGTGTTATAACTCTACCACAGCTCTATGAACCCCTCATGCAATTTTGCTTGGATTTGACCATCATAAAAGTACTAATAAAACACATGCATTATTCCCTGATTTGTTTTTCCTCCCCAACCTTATATTTCTAAGATTCTTCCACATTGGTGCCTGTAGTATTTAATTCATTTGAACTGCAGTGTATCAGGCTATTAAGTAGATACACAGTTTAATTACCTCTTCTCCTAACAATGAATATTTGGGATCTTTCTGATTTTTTACTATAAGAAAAATGCTTTGGTAGACATTTCTTTTACAAAGCTTCTGGTCACCCGTGCAAGGGTTTCCCTATCATATACACCTTAAAAGGGAACCAATGGGTCACTCAGTATGCAAATGTTTAACTCACAAAATTCTACCAGATTGTTTCTTATAAAGAGTTGAACCAATTTACATTCCCACCTGTGCTGCAGAGACGTTCCCCCTGTTCCAAGTTCTTACCAACACTTAACATTAATAACCCTTGGGATTTTTTGGCAATGGATTGAGAGTAAATGGTATTTCATTTTGGTTTTAATTTTCATTTACCTGATTACTAGGAAATTGGGTTGAGTTTCATACGTGTGTTGGACTTTTCATATGACATGTCTATTTGTGATCTTTGGCCTATTTTTCTATTAGATGCTTCATTTTTTTTTATTGACTTACAGGAGTTCTTTATATATTTTATATAGTCTTTATGTATTTTGTAATTGATGTGTGCAAATCTCTTAGCCAAGTTTGTGGCTTGTCTTCTCACTTTCTTTGTATTCTCTTTAATGAGCAGAAATTATTGATTTTAATGTAGTCAAATGTATCCCTCTTCCTTTATGGTTAGGGATTTTTGCATCCTGTTTCCGAAATCCTTCCTATACCAAGAATGAAGAGAGATTGTCTTATGTTTTCTTCCATTCCTTTTAAAGTTTTGTGCATTACATTTTAAAATCCCTTTTTATCCCCTGACATGGTGTGAGGTAGGGATAACCATTGGTTCTGTTTGTGGTGTGCAGTGTGTGTCTGCAATGATTGAATTTCCGTATGTATAAGGTCTGTTTCTGGGCTTTCTAGTCTTACTGGGTCTATTTTTGAGTCACAACCACACTTAAAACGAGACTTACACACCTGACAGTGCAAGAGTCCTACCTTGACTTTCTGCAGCAATGCCATGACTGTTCTTGGCCCTTTGTTTTCATATGCATTTTAGAAATAATTTACCAAGTTCTATGAAACATTTGTTGAGGTTTTTATTGGACTTGTTTTAAATCTATAGATCCACTTGGGGAGAATTGAAAATTACTCTAATTTCTAATATAATTAAAAATTGTTATAAATATATGTCCTTATCCATGAACATGGTATTTTAAAAACTTATTTGGATTTTTAATATCTTCCAATATAAGTTCATACTTCTCTCAGTAGAAGTCTTGCACACCTTTCATTTGATTGATCCCTAAGTCTTTTATATTGTTATTAGAATTAATAATTATAACTTTGTTGTTAGTGTGTAGAAATGTAACTAGTTTTTGACTACTGATTCAGCAAACTTGCCAAGTGGTCTTTCTTACTCTAAGAAATTACCCAAGGATTCTTTTGTGTTTTCTATATAAACAATTGCATTGATTATAAATAGATTTTGTTCCTTCCATAGTTTATCTAGGAGTTTTAAATGTATGTTTATTAGTAAAATTGACCTGTAATTTTCCTTTCTCATAGTGTTCTTGTCAGGTTTTTGTGTTAAAGTTTTGCTGGTCTCATAGAATGAATTAGAGAGATTGGTTTTGCAGTTTTGTTTTGTGTAAGTTTAATAATACAGTCTTCTCAAGTGTGTATAAGCCTTCTTGTGTCAATAGTGGCAGTAAATTGGTTTGACAAGAATCAGATTTTAAAATTTCAATTTTTAAAACATAATGTGTTTGACCCAGCAATTTCACGCCAAGGAAATTTATCCTGTGGATAGCCTCAAACAAGTATACAGAAATAAATGTACGAGGCCATTTATTGTTGTAATAGGAAGAAACCGAAAACAAGAGATGTTCAATTGAAGACTTAGTTTATAAAAGTGCAAGATTTTGTTGCCACTACAAAGACAGAGGTAGATCTATTTGTGCTGATGTGTAAAGTTCTCCAAGATCTATAATTAGGGTAAAGCAGGTGGCAGAGCAAGATATATACACATATGCGTACACCATTTGTGACTTTTAAAAAAGATAGCTCTATGGATGTGTTTATACTGCTCCTGGAAGGGCACTCGGAACCTTGTAACGTCAATCACCTCTGGAAAGCAGGGATGACAGAGAGCTATGCCCCCTTCCACACCATGTGCTCTTTTTATAATTGAAATGTGTCCCTCTCTCTCTCTCTCTCTATATATATATATATATATATATACAGTCAGATTGGAGGAGGGCCTGATAGCTGAGGAGATGCCCTCGTTGTCAGCTAACAGCACAGAGTTTCACCCGTTTCCTCTCTGGCCCTTGAGGTCTATCACCCATCCTAGAAAGGAGCCCCGTATTAAGCCCAGGTTTAGCCTGAAGAACAGAGCAGTTGGAAATGTTAAGTTGACATAAGTAGGAAGCTCTGTAACCTCTTGCAAGTGTTGCTATGGAAACCAGAGCCTGGGCGGTCTCCATGGTAACCGTTCTCAGCCTTCTGCCTGAAGGAGTTACCACCCACTGGTGCTAGAGTCTTACTTATCAGAGACCTCAGAGCATCAATAAATGGGAGGGAATGT